CGCTTTCAAACAGTTTAAAAGTGCCCGTTACTGTCTATAAAACACACATTTCAATGTCCTTTTCGTCTATGTCTTAGTTTTAGTTTTGACAAGAGTTTGGCGGTACTCACAACTCAATTATGTCATATACAATGTACATGTAAATGCTGAAAATTAGAGGAGTTAAAAGAGGTTAATATGCAAAGAAAATGAGGAGAGATAAGAACGATAGACGTTTGCTAAGGAAAAAAAGGATCAAATCACACCAGACCGCCCGCCAATCGCCCACTCTATCCCTGTCTACACGATTTACCCCATCTCTGACCAGTCCTGGTCACTTAACATCTTCTCTTTGTTCCCTGACAGGGTGTCCATTGGTCTGTGTTGCGTGTTACTGTATGACCTGATCAACATTCACATGGACCTTTCTGTGGCGTTCGTTATCTGTTTCTGGTTGGCCTGCGTCACGACGATGATGGGAGTCACGACCTACTTTGTGGCCCAGGTTAACGAAGCAGTGAGTAGTTGTTCTTGCGTTCTTCTGGGACATTCCCTAGATCAAATAGATGTTAGTGCTTTTGCTGAAAGGGTAGTTTTGTTGAGTGTCAAAAGTTGGTCGATGATGATGATGTAAATTAGTTGCCCACCTAATGACTCAGTGGGGCAGAGGGAAATAGGGCTGTGACTTTAAGTTTGTTGTTCCTGACTAAGCATACAGGGCGAAAAGTTGAACTTTTACAGTGTTATGAATATTGATATTCTATAGACAATTTGACTTATCGACTGGGAGTTTTTACGGGGCACATTAGACAATATACACATCTAAACGTGACGAAAAAAGTGCGGCTTAAAGTTTTATACAATTGGTAATCAAATTACTCCCTCTAGATCTATAGTTCAAACTGAACGCTATTGTCCCTGGTTTGTCTCTGGCCCAGTAATGGGCTCAAACAAACGCCTATTTGCTCGCCCTTGTCTGAAAAAAAAGAAAACAATTGAGGGAAAAAAATGGCTCGAGAGGATCAGTCTCACTGGTGACCCTAACACCCTTATCTCAATTAATGATCCAACTTCAATGCTTGTCACGTGCAGAGTAAAGTACAATGGGAATGGTTTCCCTTGTTACCAGTGTATCACATTCACTTTGGGGGCTGCAAATGTGTGCTTATAAATTATTTATCCCAACACTCACATACCAGTGCCAGACATGGTCCCTTTCGTTTAGTTTTAGTTAAAGTTTTACATTACTTGCCACGCCATAAGGTTATATACGTGCAGAGATTAGTGTTACAAGATAAGCACAAACGCAAAAAGGAGGAGAGATAAGAACGATCGATGTTTGATAGGAACTAATTAAGGAGCAAACTACACCAGTGAACCTTCCAACCGCCCACACGTGGTTCCTGACAAAATACCTGGAGGGAAAGCGGATCAACTGTCAAATGAAATGTTCCAGGAGATAAACCTACCAGTAATAGACACGAGACTTACTAAATAAACTCAAAGAAGAACACACGATATTAACATACATAAAAGTAAGATTTTTATCAAGATTTTTTTACATTTTAATCTAAATAATTGATCAAACTCAAGCCGTGCTGTAAACAGTCGTGAAAGCAACCAACGTCGGTTTCTCGCGCTCATAATATGACCTTATGCTGTTCGAGCTTAGTAAAACACTTAGTAAACTTTTTTTAAAAAACGGACAGGAAAGTCGACCCTGCACCAATAGTTACCTGTCTAAAACATTCACCTGTATAAACGACTACTTCACATTTTCCCTCTTTCGGTTTTTTGTTGTTTTTTTGGGGTTTTTTTTGGGGGGGTAGATTATTATTATCATCATAACAGCACTGTTCAAGACGTCCACCTGTCTGAGACAACCACTTTTCTCCTCAACTGTGGGTGTCTGAGTTGGACAATTATAACGACTGTGTCTTCGAGATTCCTCTCGCTCTTTCTCTCCCTCCAGATGCACGCCGTGGCCTATGACATACAGACCGTGCAAACTGATGGCATTACATCACAAGATCACACTCAGGTATGCTTCTTCCCCGTTGTTAGCCAGTGTTTCAGATCTTAGTGTGTTCTATCAGCCATATACAGTCGAAGGAGCTTGCTAATTGTGGAAGAATAATAATAAATTATGCCGTTATGCTTTTTTTGTTTCGTTCAGTCTTTGTTGGATATTTCTAGATTTATTTATTTATTCGTTAGTAAGGGGTACGTTTAAGTGAGTATGTGTGTATATATATATA